TCCTCCTCCTCCTCCTCCTCCTCCTCCTCCTCGTGGCACCTCTGGGTCGATGCGGTTGAACTCGTCGAAGCAGGCCCAGCCGCCCGACGAAGCGAGGCCCTTGAAGAACTTAGCCATGGCCAGCGAGTCCTGTGGAGAGGAGGAGGAGGAGGACGACGACGACGACGAGGAGGAGGAAGAGGAGGAGGAGGACGACGACGAAGACGAGGAGGGAAAGCAAGGGAGAAGCACGAGCGCTATCCCGGCGAACGGCTGACAGCATTCGCCGTGGAGACCGCGGAGCGGCTCGGGCCAGAAGCGCGCCAGTGGCTGGTCGGCCACGTGCGGGAGCTGTCAGAGGACGAGCAGCAGGCCAAGCTGGCGCGCGCCTACTGCGCGTCTGGCTGCGCAGTCCAGCGCCAGGTGGCGCGGCAGCTGCGCCAGGCGGCGGGCCTGCGCCGAGGCGGCGGCGGTTGCTGGAAGCGACGGCGGCGGCGGCCTGCCTCCGTGGAGCGCGCCGGCGGCGATGGCGGCGGCGGCGCCCCGCGCTGGCCCGGCGGCGGCGCGCAGCCACGGGCGCGTGCTGTTCGCTCGCCCAGGGGGCCCCCTGGGTCTCGAAACCCCCCGGGGCCGCGGGAGGAGGAGGAGGAGGAGGACTAGAGAGAACCCAAGACTCATCAACGATGCTGAAATACACCCTCCCTCCAAAATCCCTCTTCACTGGCCAACACAACGGGCCATCTCCACTGAGGGAGTCGCCCCGTTGGGGGGCAACCGTGTGAACATCTTGAAGCGTGCCGGAACACCACTCTCAGGACTTCAACGCCACGAGTTAAGCTGACTGCGACGTCTCAGCGATCCTGAATCGTGCCAGAACACCATTCCGAAGACTTGGACACGGCGAAACAACGTAACTGTTGCGCCCTGACAACTCTGAATCGCTCCAAATGCCATTTCTGGTACGTCAACCATTGCAATATAAGGCACTATTGTAATTCTCAAAACGAATGTGCGCAGCGCTAAGGCGAGACCACATGTTGAAAACCATCGCCCTCAATCCGTGAAACTCGTGCACATGTTGGAAGCGAATGCGCGCGGCGCAAAGGCGAGAGCCACATTTTGAAAACCACCTGCCCTCAATCCGTGAAAAGCAACTCGTGTTTCAAAGCGGGGCCTTCGCCAACATGACAGGCCCAACTGTGCTGGTCTTTCAGGGGGGCGCTTCTTGTAGTGACAAAGTTTAGGAGGGGCTTTGAACGGGGACTGGAAACGGGGACGGGAAGGTATTGCAGCGTCATTTGCGCATCTTTGGTTTGCTCTGGTCATCCTCTTCCGCCTCCTTCTCCTCCTCCTCCTCTTCCTCCTCCCTCTGCGGCGGCTAGACTGCAAGCCGACAGTACGGTCGGAAGGTCCAGATTGATTCACCTCCTCCTCCTCCTCCTTCTCCTCCTTCTCTTCTTCTTCTTAGAATTATTAGTATTAGTATCAGTAGTAGTATTAGTATTAGCATTGGTATTAGTATTCGAATAAGTATTGGTATTAGTATTAGTATTAGTATTAGTATTAGTATTAGTATTAGTATTAGTATTAGTATTAGTATTAGTATTAGTATTAGTATTAGTATTAGTATTAGTATTAGTATTAGTATTAGTATTAGTATTAGTATTAGTATTAGTATTAGTATTAGTATTAGTATTAGTTAGTATTAGTATTAGTATTAGTATTAGTATTAGTATTAGTATTAGTAATAGTATTAGTATTAGTATTAATATTAGCAGTATTAGTAGTATTAGTAGTAGTAGTATTAGTATTAGTATTAGTATTAGTATTAGCATTAGTATTAGGTAGTAGTAGTAGTCGTATTCGTATTCGTATTCGTATTCGTATTCGTATTTCGTATTCGCATTCGCATTCGCATTCGTATTCGTACTAGTATTAGTATTAGTACCAGTAAGTATTAGTATTAGTATTAGTATTAGTATTAGTATTAGTATTAGTATTAGTATTAGTATTAGTATTAGTATTAGTAGTAGTATTAGTAGTAGTATTAGTATTAGTATTAGTATTAGTATTAGTATTAGTATTAGTATTAGTTAGTAGTAGTAGTAGTAGTAGTATTAGTATTAGTATTAGTATTAGTATTAGTATTAGTACTAGTATTAGTATTAGTATTAGTATTAGTATTAGTATTAGTATTAGTACTAGTATTAGTATTAGTATCAGTATTAGTATTAGTATTAGTATTAGTATTCTTATTAGTCGTATTAGTATTCTTTGTACTCTTAGTAGTAGTATTATTTCTGTTCAGTAGTATTAGTACTATGATTCGTATAATTATCAGTATCAGAACACTGTTTCAGTAATATTAATAGTATTAGTGTACGTTGTTCATTCCCTTCTTATCAGTATGCGTAGTAATAATATTGCTCTTCTTGCACTTATGATTGGTATTCGTAGTATTATTATGTTTCCTCCTCCTCCTCCTCCCCCTCCTCCTCCTCCGTCAAACAATCAATTCTGGCACGAGCGCACCATGTTGGCTTCGCGCTCGGCCAGTCCCGCGCCTCCACGTGGTGCTTGGGGGGGCGGCGGGTCGGCCGCGCGCCTGAGCGCAGCAGATCCTGTCGACCAGAGCGGGGGCAGCACACGCCGAGGGGGCCATGGCGAACGCCTGAAGCACGTGTGCGGGCTGCGGCACTCACGAGCTCAATGTCAAACTCTTGGCGAACAACTGCAAGTGCCGAGCCTGTCATCGCCCAGTCAAGCTCTACGCCCCGAGGGAAGAGAAGGGCAAAAGCAAGTGCAGGGACAAGGAGAGTCAGCTGCAGCTCGAGGTCAGGCCGCCCAAGAGGAGCGTCTGCGAGGCCACGACGGCGCAGCAGACGATGGTCGCCTTGCCGGGTGCCCTGGCAGCGGTCAAGGACCCGAAGGTGAAGCAGATGCTAGAGGAGCAGCTGAGGCTGACGCAGCAGTCGGCGCACTCGGCAGCCAAGCCACTGGCAGCTGCGGAGGCGGTGCGACGGGAGGCTGGCGCGTGGCGGGACGCCAGCGCGAAGTACACCCAGGCCGCCCAGCAGACGCAGAGGCTCGAGCATAACCTGTCCAAGGCCAGGGAGAGGGAGACGGAGGCAGCTCGCGCCCTTGCCCTGGCGGAGATCAACCGTCGCGGTGCAGCGCAGGCGCTGGCCAAGGAGACGGGCGCTGTCACCGAGGCGCCGTCGGCACAGGTCGCGGAGCCGATGATCAATCTTACGTGGGATACGGAGTTCTTCCAGCAATTGGACGAGCTCGAGTGCAGCGCGGAGGAGAAGGAGTCCCTCCGCAGGGCCGAAGCAGAGTGGAAGGCAGCGCGCAATTCGGTGATCAACAAGGCTGACGAGATCGCCAAGTGGAGGGCCGACACGGAGGCGCTCACGAAGAGGTTACCGAGCGCCTGACCGAGAAGAGGCGCTGTGGCGGCGTCCAGGAGTCAGCAGCCGCGGCCGCCGCAGGTGCCACCAGCGGGGCCCCCGCAGGCGGCGCCGCGGACTCTCCTTCAGGAGCGGCAGCGGCGGCGGGCGGCAGCGGCGGCGCAGGCGCTGAGGCAGCAGCCAGCAGCGGCCAGGGCGCTGGAGGCCCCTCGAAGCCCTCAGCGGCGAGCAGCCCCACCGAGGCGGAGATCGAGGCCGAGATGGCCAAGATCAGGGCCACCAGCGCCGCGGGGTTGCCGCCGCGGAGGGGGCGACGGCCAAGGCGCAGCGACGATCGGCACAGGTGGACGACGTCTTCGCGGCGACGTCGTCTTGCTTTCCCTCGCAGTCGCCAGGTGGAGGTGCAGTTTTAGCGGCGGCTGTTCCTTCGTCTTCTACTACCTCGGAATCGCCAGGCGGGGCTTCCGTTTCTTCGACGGCGGTCGCCTCACCTTCCTCTACATCGGCGCCTGAGGAGGCAGCGGCAGTACGTATGTTCTTCTCTAACACCACTTGTCTTGGAAAGAAGTCTTGGTCTCGTCTCCGTACGAAAGTGTTCCTGGCCAGGTACGACCTCGTGGGGGCTGTCGAGACTCCTGCCCGATGCCATACTCGTACGCAGTGGGCGCGGAAGTCTCGGCAGCCGAAGTGGAAATTCCTGGACAACACAGTTCGGAACACGGGGAAGGGCTCATCCGCGTCAGCTGAGCGGAAAGCCAACGAGGGCGGGGAAGCTCTCTGGGCCCCAGGCCATCGCAATGTGCACCGTCTTTTTATCAAGGCGTCCGAAGCGGCGTAGCTATGCGCAGATGGAGCTGACGCTTGCGATGGATTCATGCCATCGGCAGTGCACTGCCAAGGATTATCTGTTGTGATCGTTTTTTTTTTATGCGCACTCTTCGGTCGGATTCGGGGGAGCCATTGCGCAAAGGTACGGGAAATTCGGAGCGTTGCTTCAGATGCTCCAGCTGCCGCGGCTCGTGATAGGGGATGTCAATACCGGAGTTGGTCAGGTTGGGCAGTCCATATTCGTCAAGCGTGTAGAAGGCCACATCAGGCAATCGAATGTTGACTACACTTGCGTCGGGATTGCAGGTAGTTCACACGTTGATTTTGTGATGGCGTCCGGGAGTTGCTCGCCGTACATCGAGTCCATCGAGGCTCGTTCTGTGATGTCCCTAGGGGGCCCCATCTAGGCTCAGAGCTCACCCTTCATGGCTCAGGAGTGCAACTCTTGCAGCGTTCTCTCGTCACCGCCCCTCGCCTGCCGCAGGTACCTCGCCCGAGCATCAGTCCCGAGGCAGGGTCGAAGTCGAGCTAGGCGCAAGCGGAGCAGCAGGTGCGGACCCAACTCACTCGAGAAAGGACCCGCGCTGACTGCGACGAGTTTTTGTTCAGATGTTTTAGCTTCCAGGGCGGGCCCCTCTGGCAACCAGGGCCCCGAGGATCCCGACCCCCTGGAAACCCCCGATCCTCCGGTCACGCTGGGGCCCAATGTTGTCAGCGGCGAGTCCGAGGATCCTTTTGATTTTGGAGTCTTCGAGGAAGAGGATCCGTGGGCGTCAGAGTCGTGCCCTCACCCAGCCCAGAAATCGGTGTCAGGAGATCTAGGTAGACCCGCTCTTCAGAGTGATGAGACTGAGCGACAGGAGCAGCTCACAATTGGCGCTTCCTCGAGGGATGCTTCGGCTGTCCTCCCTGTCGAGCGTCCTAGGGGCCTGGGCACCAGCACGGCTGGTAAAAGGGATCTTCCGCACTCCGCTGCTGATGCTGCTGCTGCCGCCGTGCCAACTTTCCCCATCCGTGCTTCCACGTGGATCGCACGCTCGGCGCAAGCTTCCTGGGTTGCACACTCGCCTCAGGACGTCTGGAACCCCGTCAGACAGTCCCTTGCACATGAGGTAGGACAGCGCCACATCCTGCCGATCAGTGGCTGTTTCGGGCGATGGGCGGACACTGTCGAGCGATCGATTGCTGCCACCGCTGAAGTCCGGGGCCGTCGGTATCTCGCTGGAGGCAGGGCCCGTCAAGGTGGCCGACCACGCGGGGGCCCAGCCGCTGCACGACGGGATATCCTCCTGGTGGGACAGAGGGCATACGGTGGTCAAGCAGGCGCGCCGTCACCGCCGTCGGCGCAGCGGAGCGCAGCAGATGGCCCACCTTGCCAGAGCAGCTCCGTGCCTCGCGGATCGGCCCCTCGACGGAGCAGGCGCAAAGTTTCCAGCGGTCCAGGGCACCGCTTGGGCGCAGCTCGTGGGCTTCCCCCGGCGGGCGCCTCCAGGACCTGGGCGTCGAGGAGCTCGGCAGGACGGAGGGGGCAGCGCTCAGGTCCGCTCGGAGGGCTCAGAACCGTGCTGCTTCTGCGCCCTCGTGGGATTTCCAGAGCTGGATCGGGTCGGTCGAGAGTCTTGGAGCGGCGCATCGGTCCATCAGAGACCAGGCGCCCGAGCAGGACGAGTTTCGCATCGAGGGCCGCAAGCTGGTCCATCCTCTTGAGATCGTCGATGTTAAGATTAGCCATTGGCATGCTCTATGGTCTTCCAAGGTGTCGGGGCACGGCGCCATCATGAGAGCGTGTGACATGATCAGGGAGCATGCCGAAATCGAGCAGCTCGAACCCCTCACCGTCGAGGAGACTAGGTCGGCACTATCCAAGATGAAGCCCCGAGCGGGCCAAGGAGTGGACAAGCTGTCGCCGTTGGATTTCGCGAGGCTCCCAGACCAAGCGATCAGCGAGCTCAGCCAACTATTCAACATGATCGAACAGGGCCTCAGCTGGCCTTGGCAGGTTTTGCATGTGCTCGGGCGGCTGCTCGGGAAGAAGTCGGGCGACGATCGGTGCATCGGCCTGCTCGGCATGTTGTGCAGAGTGTGGTCGCTCGCGCGGGAGCCGCTCGTGCGAGGCTGGGCCGACCAGCAGGACGACTACTGGGATGCCGCCATCGCAGGGAACAGCTCCTTGCGGGATGGTCTCGTGCGGGCGTTGGAGGACGAGGTCCAGTCATGGCGTCGTCTGCCTCACGAGCAGGCGCTGCTCAGCGTGGAGGCTTTCTGCGACGGGATCGAGTGGCTGATCCTCGCAGAGTGCGCGATCGGGACAGGCTACTTCTTCCTGAAGTGCAGTTGTTCATTGCGCCGCGCATGCTCTCGCAATTTGGCTCGTACTCGTTGCCGTTCCAGGCCACGAAGTCGGTCATCCAGGGGTCGAGGAGCGGCACGAGGTTCGCCCAGTGCCTCACGGCTGTGGTGTGCGAGAGGCTTGCGGTGGCTCGCCCTTCGATGTCGGAGAGGATCTGGAACGATGACCTGCTCGAGCGGGTGTCAGGCAGCCGAGTTCGTGAGCGAGATACGCTGGTGGAGCCGGTGGCCATGACGGTGAAGGAGTTCCGCAGGCTCAAACTGGGCATAGCGGCCAAGAGTGTGGTGAAATGTTCTGTCCATCAAGACGCCGTGTCATCGTGGCTCGGCGTTCAAAAAAAAGCATCGACGCCAAGCCGATGCTCCAGTCAGCGCACCCAGGCATCGACCTGGCAGGCGGCCGTCGGCACGGGCGAGACACAGCACGCAAGAGAGTGAAGAAGCCGTGAGCTCCACATCGGCGTCTTCGTCGTTTCGCAGCGGCGGCGAGGTGGACCACTACCAGCAATATCCAGAGGACGGGGCCTCAAGCTCCTGCATCACACGGACATCAGATTTTAGGATGCTTCGGCTCAGTCATGCTCAGCCACAGGCGAAGGTTGCGAGCGGCCGCGGGGTCGGCCAAGAGGGGGAGGTGCCTGACGTCACTGTTGGCGCTTCGTCTCCCAGGTGACGACGCTGGTGCAGCGCTTCCACGCCTGTGTCTCAATCAATGCTTAGACTCGTGGCTGCGAGTGTCTCGGCTTCGTGCATCGGTGCAGCTGGCACGGGGCAGAACGCTAGCAGCCCTGAAAGAGGTTCCAGTTGCTCAACGCAGTCGCCACGTTCGTGGTCTGCTGTCTTCTGCTGCGTTGTATTTGTTACAGGCAGGCTGAAATTTGAAGTCGGCGACGGAGTGGCAGGTGCCGAGTGACCGGAACAGTGTGGAGCATGCGTGGGAATTCTCATCGGATGCCTTTGGTTGGCCTGGACCAGGCGCAGCCGCTCCTCAAAGAACTCGAGGATGCCCTGTACTTGCAGCTTTGGCGGGAGGCGTCGGGCCTCTTCTGCGGAGAAGGTATTGAGCAAGGAACCGACTGGACGAGATATCGTGCCTACATCACGTCGCCCCTGCACGCGAACAAGGGCCGCCAATTGTCGGAGCTGATGGTTACGATCGCCACGGGCGGCTACTGGACCCAGCAGCGCAAGCTCGAGGCCAAGCTGTCAGGCTCGGATGTATGCGAGCGGTGCGGCGAAGGGCCAGACACGGCCCTCCACCGCAACTGGTTGTGTCGAAACAAATTGTGGGTCTCCAGCGTTCGTCCAATCCAGATTGCCTGGTGGGTGAAACTCTGGCCGAACATGAGACCTCCCCATGTCTTTGGATGAGAAAAGTGATTCCGAGCGAATGGACTAGGGTCCCTGTTCCACCTAGCGAGGAAGCTTTTTGGAGAGGCGATGTGTCTGGAGGGAGCCTGGGTCCTGGGTGTCTTGGCCAGAGGACTCGAGCCTCTCCGCTCCTCGTCTTCGGGGGCTCCTCGGGCGGGAAACACGCCCACGACGGCAAGTCACGTAGAGTTGGCAATGCTATCGCTGTTCTTCAGAGTTTCTCCCCCTGCGTGCTCGGCCCCTGCCTTTTCTGGCCTCTGGTGGGGCCAGCCCGAAAGGTGCCCAGGGGCGAGTGGCAGGTTTTTGGGTGGTCGGCTCGCTTCTCGCACGGTCCAGTGGTCCACACTACTCACTGTGCTGGGGTGGCCATAGGGTGGTATGCTGGAGCAGCTGGCAATCCCACTGGCCCCCAGGCAGATTTGTGGCGCAGCATCGGCAGCACGCTGGCTCGGCAGGGCAGACCTGCTAGTTACATAGTTGTGCTGCAAATCCCGTCGCACCTCACGGGGTTTGAAGCTGTATATCAAGGGTGAGCCAGTTGGCTCATCCAAGGGAATGCGTGTGTGGATGTGCTGGCGGGGGCCGCGGCCAAGCAGGCCCATGTCCCCGAGGCTGCTAGGCACCACGTTCCCAACGTCGAACGAAACGCTCGTTTAATTAGGAGAAGGCTGCTCAGAGCAGGTTTGGTTTCCATT